AAAAAAAAACCCCAAAAAAAAAAAAAAAAAAAAAAAAAGAGGTAGGGTCTAGTGGGAAATTTATAGGCTACCAAAAGAGCTGCTCTTGGAAGGGAGTAAAATAAGTCTGGTGGGAGCTCTTGAAAGAGTGAGTCGTTCTAAGACCAACAAGCACAATGTCTAATTGCTCTCAGGCTTTCTATTTCAAGATGTGATCTCTGCCTTTGTGCCTTCTCACTTTGGTCACACCATCTACCATCAGGCTGTCAGCAGAAGCTGAACCAATGAGCTGCTCAGTCTCGCACTCCTAGCCTCCAAAATTATAAGCCGAACAAATCTCTTTTCCTTATAAAGTAACTTATCTCAGGTATTCTGTTTTAGAAATGTCAAACTGATTTAGGCACAGTCCTCGGTATTTACCCAAAGGACCTGAAAACTTATGTTCACATAAAAACCTGCACATGAATGTTTATAGCAGATTCACTGATGTGTGCCAAAGCTGCTTGGAAGCAAACCAGGATGCTGGAATAAGGGTGCAAATGGTACTGTCCACAAAAAGACATGGAAGATCCTTAAATGCTTATGACCAACTGAAAGAAGGTAATCCGAATACACTCCGTACCATATGATTTCAAATATACAACACCATGGAAAAAGCAAAAATATGGAGACAGTACAAAGAGCAGTGGTTTCCAGGGCTGGAGGGAGGGGGAGACAGTATGAAGGATTTTTAGGGCAGAGAAACTACTCTGTCTTATATAATCATGGCAGGTAGATGTCATTATAAATGTCTAACCCTACAGAATGCACCGCACTAACAATGAACCCTGAGGTAAACTGTGGACTTGGGGCGGCAATGATGTGTCGATGTAGCTCTGTGAATTGTAACAGACGTAACACCAAGGAGGGCATGTTGATATTGCATATGTGAGGGCCAGTGGGTAGTGGGGATACCTCTGCACCTCTATTCAATTTCACTATGAACTTAAAATCGTTCTAAAAACTAAACTCTATTAAGAAATGTATCTGGGCTAGGAGTACAGCTCAATGGTAGAGGGTTTGCCTCATACCTGTGAGGCCCTGGCTTTTCCAGCACCACAAAACAAAACAAAAACATCTATTTACCTAGGGGAAGGCCCTGTTGGAAGGAATGAGTGGTTCAGGACTCAAATAGTAATTTCTGTATTTCAAAGTGTTCTTTAAGAAAGCTAAATTACTAAGAGTTCTTGCCTAAAACTTTCCACTTTTAAACAAATAGGCATTTGAACATATTAAGATTCATAGAGCTGTTATTATATTTCTAGATATAATGTAAGGAAATGTGATGTGTCACTGGTCAAATGCATGATAATGTTTTATCATTGGAATGTCTCCATAGAATAAATCTAAAGACTAAAAGGACTATATTCTGTGTCAAAACATGATAGGTTGGGCATAGTGGCCCAAATCTGTAGTCCCAGCTACTCAAGATGGCTGAAGCAGGAGGATTCCAAGTTCAGGGCCAGACTGAATGACTTAGCAAAACCCTTGTCTCAAAATAAAAACTAAAAGGGGCCAGGGATTTAGCTTACTTGCACCATACCTGCCTTGCAAGTGCCAGATCGCCAGTACCAAAAAACAAACAAACAGAACAAATAAATACATAAAAATAAAAAAAGGTTTAGGGTTGTGTCTCAGTGGTAGAGTGCACCTGGGTTCAAACCCCAATTCCCTCCTAAAACACCCCCACCAAAAGAAGCAAAACTATAAAAACAACAACAACAACTAGTGATGAAATTCAATGAAAAGATGACCACATTTTCAGCAACTTACTTCAAAAGAAAGTAACTTTTCTCTATCAGAAAAAAATCAACTTACTGAATGGAGCAGCCTGCTTTGTGGGGCTAGGTATAAAATCAAGGGAGAAAGAAAGGAGACAGACCCCAAACCAACAGGCTCAGGGAAATCAGACCTGGTCCTCAATGGCATGGGCATATGACACAGCCAGATATTACCAACCTTCCTTCTCCATTTCCCAAATCTCCTTTCAATGAAGAGGTTGCATTCCAAAACCAGGAGATTGCCCAGTTGAAGATAATGACCTACTGTGCTTCTCTCTCCTCCAACAGAATATTCAGAGCTAATACTTCAGGGGGAATGGAAGCAGGTGACCCCACCAGGGCTGTTTTGTAAGTAACAGACACAGCTTAACAAGTTCCTGCCAGCTTGAACCACCAGTAGTACATAGATGGCTGTCCCATTGAGCAGCTTTTTCCACTGGTGATACGAATGGATTCAATCACTTTTACTGGTCTTTTTATTAATAAAATTAAAAAAAAATTTATGAATGGTCCAAATGTAGTTAGTTGCTTGAATCTGAATAATTACTGTTCAGATATAATTACTAATAAGATTCATACCAACCACAATTCATACCATCAGTGGTTCAAGCCAGTGGGAACCAACTGAATTCAAATCAGTCATTGGGCAGTGAAACAGGAGTGACAGCCCCATCATAAACGTGTTAACCTTCCTCAGAAATGGTGAGGATTTTAGCAACCTTTTACTGAGAGAATAATTAAAATCTAACTTGGGAACACACAAATCAAAGAGATTAAAGTCATGGTTGACTGTGAAATATTATTGAGTGGGGGAAAATGTCATCACTAACATAGCTGAAAATATAGATGGGGTCTAGAACTATTAAATCATAATGATGTGGGTTGGGGGTCCTTTCTGTAGTAAACTTCAGGGGAGATCATCATGTGAAGTCTTTCTAACGTGCTCTCCCAGGAGTGGTCTGATCCCTTTGGAATTGCCATTCCTGAGCTGCCTGGGAACATGGGCTCTGATGTCACTCTCCAGGAACAATTTCATCCACCTTTGTCTGGAGATATTCACTTCAATTAACTTTGCCATTTCTGTTCCCAAGATGGCAATTTTAGTCAGGGTGAGAACAATTTGGATCGGTGTCCAGAATCCTCCCACAGTTCCAAACCATATAGAGGCAGTCTTCCCATCAGGAACACATCCTGAGGGTGGCTTGGCTACTTTTTCAACCTCCTGGTGTGATGCTCAGCTTTCTGCTTCCTGCATATCGGCATAGTAATGGCCTTGTGACTGACCCAAATCCACCAAATAGGCACCAGTCTCCAGGTCTCAAGCCTTTGTACCTGCTGTCCCCCCAAGCCGGAATGCTCTCTTCCTGGCTCCCTACCTTCCTGTTTTCAAGTCTCTGCTTCCAAAAGGACTTCCTGGGACTAATTCAGTAGTATCTTGTTCTCCTTCTGCCATCAGTCTCTTTTATTTTCTTCTAAGCACTTAGCTCTACCCGACTTTACAGCACATCAGTGTGGTTATATGAAAGAGACTTCAATTTTATCCAAAGTATCTAAAGAACTGAAGCACACAGAAAAAAAATATTAATTCTGTGGCAAATATACATTATTATATAACTATTTTATGTGCTTAAGTGTATGTTTAAATATTTAAAACATAGTAAAGAACACATAAGGAGTACACAGAAGCTTTTTCTAAAGTGTACTCAGACAATGTGAAATAGGAAAAGGGCTAAAGGTGTAAGGAAAGTGGGAAGGGTAGGGGAAAGGTAATAAGGGAAAAGAAAAAAAATAGGAGAAAATGAAAAAATGGAAATAAAGTGTTTGTAAATGGGGAGGGGAGGAGGAGGTCAAGGGCAATGGTGAATGCAACTGTACTGTATACCTAGAATGTACCAATAAACTCAATGAGGGGAAAAAAATAAAGTGTACTCACATAACATCAATTTCTTAGATAATCAAATATGTTTGGAAAATGCGAGCCCTGAAATAAACAATTTAATTTATTGCAAGACTTCTGAGTCTTTCACAGACTATTGTACATCTGCTGCTCTTCTTTTCTTTCTGAGGTGAGTTCTTGCTAAATTACCTTTGGATCCTGCTGCCTCCGTCTCCTGAGCAGCTGGGATTATAGGTATTCTCCATTTCACCTGGCTCATCTGCTGTTCCAAGAGGGACACATACTGGACCAGCGGTAGTGAGCCTTTTAGAGCTTTTAATAACAAACAGCTCAGCGCTCATGCCATAGGTTTGTCGCCACTGTACTAAGCAGTTGTCTCACCCTGGACATGTTTTTCTCCACGGAGAAGCTAATGGATTATCACTATGGAATATACTCAGAGAAACACATTTTTACAGTAGGGGGTATTTTATGTCTTCTTCATTGCACTCTCTATACCTAGGAATCTCTGAGATGTAGCGCTCCATTTGCTGAGTAAATGCATCATTAAGTGCTGATATTTTAGTATTTTGATGCTGTTATTTCAGCCTCTTGTCAGAGGCTTGGCCTACAAGACTTTTCAAGGTCTCTTAAATATTTTAATAGCTTTAAACCATGTATGAGATTTCTGTAGAGCAATGAAAAGAGACAGTGACAACAGTCTGGCAGGAAGCAACTGAAATACAATTTCAGTGATATTCTAAATCAAACCTTGCTCACGCATGCTTAAAATCAGATGTCCTGGGCTGGGAATACAGCTCAGTGTAAGAGCACACTCAGTGCAAGGCCAGGGCTCCAGCCCTAGGACCCCAAAATGAAAGAAGTAGATGACCTCAGCATCTCTGTCCTTCTCTCTCCCTGTTGCCTCTTTTTTTTTTTTTTTTTTTGTACCAGGGATCGAATTAGGGCTCTTGCACTTGCTAGGCAGGTGCAGCACCACTGGGCTAAATCCCTGGCCCTACTGCCTCACTTTTGACCATTGCATCCACCTTCCTTATACGCCCTGCTTCTTCATGAGAAATTGATCCATACATAAACTTAGGCCTAAGGTTGGGTGTCAGAAGGAAATCCTAGATGCCCCTGTGCTCCACCACACACCTAGAGCCTGTCTTCAAGTGCCCCATCAGCCCCAGGAGCAGGCCCTGAGATAGGAGGAGCCCTCTGCGCAAGGGCAAACGCTGGACTGAGGATGGAATGAAAGGGTGCCAGGGCAGTGGTGGAGAAGAGGGTACACAGGCCCGCTGCACTCTGGGTAATCTGACTCTTCCTGTTCCTTTGTGTAGACACAGCAGGAAACAGACCAACCCGCTCCACACCCCCAGGAGGCTGGGATGGGGAGGGAGAGGCGTTGCCTTCCCAACACTGCACTTCTGAGGCCACCTCCACCACTCCCTGAGGCCTGCAGGAGCTCACCATGGTTACTAAAAGCAGTTATTCTGAGCACTGAGGGCAGTAGTCTTATTTCTGCAGTAGGGGCCAGCATATTTTTTAGTTCCCAGTACAACTTCAGATTTAAAGCTTCCAAGAAAGTTAGGGGTTAGAAAGCCCCAAAAATTGTACTGTTCAGGGCACTCTGTTAATACATGCCTGCATTTATAAGTGTGTGCTGGTTTATGCCCTAACCTTGGAGTTCATTACCAATTTTCACTGTGCCTCTAAGGCCTCAGCATGATTATTATAATTAGCCATCATTTATTGTTTACTATGTAACAGGAACTGCATGTTATTTTATTTAATCCTTAGAATGATTCAGTGGCATGGGTCTGATTTCATTTTACAGAACAAGCAGCCACGATCAAGAGGTTAAGTGATCTGTAGTTGCTGGTGAAAAAAATTAAACTCAGGCAACTTAAAAGTCCAAGTATTTCCTGTGCTGTTCTTCAACTCCCAAAGCTCTCCTTCCAAAGGCCCCCAGCCCCTCCAGGCCTACGAAGCAAAGGTGCAGCCTTTGGAGGGAGGGAGGTTTAAGGAGGGGACCCACTCTATGACAGCAGATGGCTCAGAAGGATACAATAAATCTTCAGGGCAACTGAGCCATGGTGAACGAAAGGAAGATCTGTGACATGGAGGGGCACCAGGACTCCCCTCTTACCCTCATGTACCACCAGTGAGGGACCCAGGATTTGGCCCTTGATTGGGCCAGGCATGAGCATAAGGGGACTTGGAAGGAATCCTAGGCCAGCCCCCTTCCGACCACGCACTCCAGGACTCACATCTCATTTGAACACAGGAACCTGAAATGACCTTTATTCTCTTAACCTTCCCACACCTTCACCATTTCCTCTAAGCTTTTCCCAAAAGTGCTAACCTGCAGAGCTGGACAGATGCCAGTTTGTATCTGTGGTGGGTGCCGGGGATCCTGACTTAGTTTTGTCTTTCATATATTAAAAGGGTTGGCTCCCTTTTCCTCTGAGTTGTGTAAGGTTTGATTTCCATACTAAATCCCCTTTCCCACAATTTTCTTGACCAAACCCTGCCCGTCACACCAGTGACTAAACCAGTGGAGGATGGATGACCTAGCAACCTAGCAACAGCATGCAAAAACGCTTTGGAACCCGCCTTGGATCTCTCCTGACTTAGGCATTGATCGCTTGTTCTTAGATCAGACTTTTTCCAAGCTTCAATTTTCTATTCTATAAAGTGACATGAACCACACTGTATCAGCTTCAAAGCAGTGAATAAAAGATGACATGAGATCACGTAGGCACTCAGCACCCCTGCTTATCTCATTTATTGCTGTCGAGCTAAGATAAATTGCCTTATTGGGGAAAAAGCAAGCAGAGTGTTCAAATGCACAAGTAGAATCACTCAAAAAGAAGACAATTTTGACTAAAGCTGATAGACTTCTTTCCCAATGCTTATGTGTCCTATCGATTTTTTAATACAGTATTGCGGTGAGTAACAGAGATATCTGATGAGCTCTATAACTGTGTCTAGTGGCCAGTAGGTGCTCCACATGGGGAACATGTTTCTCTGCAGTTCACAGCAAACTTACTGGTGGAAAAGGTTTTCCCCATTCCCTCAATGTGTCTGAGCTTCCGGATGCTTCCTCTCAAGCATCTCAGTTTTCTTTGTTCTCAGTTTTATTACTCCTATCTCCCTGCCAAATGTAAACGGGATGTGGCTCTGTGCACTGAGCTTGCTGCCTGTAATAGCCGATAACCAGTGATTTGTGAATCTGCTGTGCTCTATGCAAAGTGCTTAACTCCTGCAAGCCCGCCCCTCCCCAGAGTATAACCTGCCCTGCTTCACCCCAAAGCAGGGTCAGTCTCTTTGTGGAGAAATCCCATACTGACCCGCTGGTAGAATAAACTGAACACTGTGCCTCCAAAACTTCTGGGTGCGTCGTCCATTCTCCTGGTCTCCCTGTCTGTATGTTCTGGCTGACACTTTGCTGCTACACTAACTCCCTTCAAGCTGATTTAGCATAATGATGAATCACTCACGACAAGCAGGTGTTTCAGGAGGAGGAGGACAAGGGGGAGGTGTAACAGAGGATGAGAAGAAAATGTTCTTTTCTAAGCATTTGATGTCTGCAAGAAACTCCTTGGTCTCGGGGGCAGCCACTTACCTGGAATGGTAGCTTTGGTGCCAGGGGGGCCCCATCGTGCCCTGAGATATCCTCATCATGCTGCCTTCCGACTGGTGCTCCTCAAATGTGGCTGTGTGCCATGAATGAGGGCGGCCTGCGGGTTCGCTGTGCCTGGGGAGACACGGGAGAGGGACCCCAAACATCAGCAGCCTTCTCAGCTGTCTCCTCATTGAGGTGGTTTGGGGACCCAGAAGCTATCTCTTCAGAGATGGAAAAGTAACCTAGTAAGTACTGCAAAGAAGACTGTGTACTGTGTATTTCTCTTCTAATCACTGCTACTCTCTGCTTCATTTTTAAAATTTCACTTCTGAAGTTGGCATAATCTCAGATTACATAGAAATGTTACAAAATTAGTATAGAGAGCTCCCACATTAACCCAAACTACATGTTAACATTTCATGCTTTATGAATGGAAGCACATGGAACTTCTTGGTCTTTCCAGGCCTCTCTTCTTACAGAGAAAATGGGAGCACCAATCCTTTTCCAATCCTTTTCCCCAAGGGACTTTAGATATGGTTACAAACCTCTGGGGGCTTTTGGAGTCTCTCTGCCACACTCCCATGCTGGGTAACTGATACTATGGTTTTACCTTCTTGGTAGGAACTTCCTGAACATTTTTAGCCACCCAGTGTTGACAGTGCTCTAAGCCCCACGAGTCTGGAGGACAAAGTGCTCTCTCCAAAACAGTTTCTTGTTTTAATTCAATGGCTTCAACTTTTAAACATCCTGCGCTCAATACACTAAGAATTAACCCTGCCAAAAGGAAGTGTGAATGTCCTTCGACCTGCAGTGTGGCAGGAGGAGCCTGGTGAGAAGCAGAAAGGCAGTGTCAGAAGGGTGTTCTTATGCTGTATTTCTGGCCAAAGAGTGAGGTGACGTCGGCACTTCATGCTGAAACACCGGAGCAGAAGGACTGCGGGAGAGATTTTCCGCAGCTTAGAAACACTTCTGTGGGATCAAGAAATCCATTTGGACATGGGGAAAATAATAGTGGTAAATCATCCCAACTCAGTATACTTGGCCTCAAGGCTAAAAAACCCACCCACCTCTTTTCTGTGAAACACAAATTAGCTTCTGAAATACAAATGAAAACTCACTCTCTTGATGCCAGTAACATTTCATTTGTTAAGCAGATCAGAATAACACTAGACCAGGGGCCAGGAGACCCGGGTCTGGGCCTGACTCCTCTTAATTGGCTGTGTGACCCTAGGTAAGTCACTAAGTCTCTGCTCATCTAAAAAGTGAAGAGATTAATCAGAGACTGGATTTGTCTCATTTTAATCTGAAATAACTTTTTTCTGGTTTGTTTTTGAAAACAGGACATTGCTACATAGACTAGGGTGGCCTTAAACTTGCTGTGTAGCCCAAGCTGGCCTGAGGCTTTCTATCCTCCTCAGGTCACCTAACTCAGCCTCTCCAGTGCTGAGATTGCAGTACAGGCACGCACCATCACACCTGGCTAATTTGAAACAACTTTTTTACTGAAGGGCTTCTCCAGACAGGTGATGATTTCTTAAATATACACACATTTTGATTCTTAAAGGGCGATATGATTTTGGGAAAAGCGGTTTTGTACAAAGTAAGGGAAAGTGGTGCATATGACTTTTTAGAAGCCATTCAGTAAACACGTTAGGCCAAGAAGAGCAGAAACCACTCAGGTCTCCCTGAAGATGGGATGGCCTGGAACATCTAAGACATGGGGCCTGGGTACAGTAATGAGGTCACTCATTGGGGGCTGCACTCAGAGGGATTAGTGGAGTTCTCACGGGACCCTGGTCTGTTCCCACAAGAAGGGGTTGTTATAAAAAGGGTACATCTGACCCCTGACACTCTCTGTCTCACCCTGTGGTCTCTTCTGCACTTGTGCACACCCTGGAGATCACACACACCCTGAGGCCCTCAGCAGAGACCAAACCAAGGGCTTCCAGCTGCCAAAACCATGAGCTAAATAAACCTCTTGGGCTCCAGTGATCCTCCTGCCACAGCCTCCTGAATAACTGGAAGTATAGGCATATGCTGCCATGCCCAGATGTAAATCTCTTTTCTTTAAATATTATCCGGGCTCACACATTTTGTTACAGTAACAGAACATAGACTAGTATAGCTGGCATGAGGCTAAAGGTATCAGCTCTGAGATACAATAAATAAAGGCTCTAAATTTTTAAACCAGATCCCACTGGTTTTTAGCTTTTGAATTTTAGGTAAAATTCTTCATCATTCTGAATTGCCTCATCTGTAAAAAGAAGATTACAGCAATCTTTTCAAGGGCTTTTGAGATTAAAAATGTACCTGGCACATAGTAAGAGCCCAAGAAACATTCATTATCGATGAATTAATAGGCTGGGCAGACATACTTGTCAACTCTGTCTACTGAAAGGGTGGACAGAAGAGGGGAGAAGGAAGCTGAGGGTGGATGACAAAGGAGGGGAAGGTGCAGCAACTGTTGGTGGGGATGAGTCTCCCAGCTCTGAGCTCCCCAGGAAGGTACTGGGCGCCAGTAATCAGAGAGGCTGGTCAGGGAGCTGCCAGGACAGTGGCCTGAAATCAGCAGGATGAACACAGGTACAAAGAAACAGACCACCTAGAATCTACAAGAGAGCCAGAGGAAGTGGCCGCACAGCATGGGCCAGAGAGTTGAGGGAGGATGCAACACCGAGAGATCAACAGGAGCCAGGAAGTTCTCCACCTGGCTCTGCCTCATTCCTCTCCGTTCCTCACAGCAATCCCACACAGCCCCTACCTTTATGGTTAGCTCTGCCCAAAGTTCTTCTCTGGAGAGTGTTACAGGAGCCTTGGGCTGTGGCTCAGCACCATAGCAGTTTGGCATTCTTGCACCTGGTCTCACTGTGACCCGGTACATCCAGCTCCTGGAAACCAGCTGCCACCTCTCCTTCGGCCCTCTGGAGGCTGCTCGCCTCTCTTCGGCCTCAGCTCCTCTTGGACTCATCACTCCTGGTTCACCACACAGTTCTATCCAGTGGTTAGAAATCTCTCCTCATGCCTGCAGCCTTTCAGAGCTGGCCCAAATCACACAGCCAGGAAACCTGGGAGCCACGGCTGAAACCCAGTTGTATAGGACTTCAAGCCGGATGTGGTGGTGCCCGCCTATAATCCCAGCACTCAGGAGGCGGAAGCAAGAAGACTGCATGAATTAGTTCAAAGCCAGACTGAGTTACATAGCAAGATTTTATCTCAACAAAACAAAACAAAGCAACAGCAAAATGTGTCTTTTGCCTGAGATACTCAGTGGCATTTCACACAAGTATCATTTTGGACCCAAGTAGGTCCAAAATAATGAGGAAAAGCAAACATCTAGGCATCAGGTGGCACACGTTCCTGAGGGACCGGATACTGAGTGAGAGTTCCGAATCACACACTGAAGTGTAAAAGGAGGCTGTGCACTGAACAATAATGACAAAGGAGCTGCCTCACCTAAGTCCAGGAAGAAAACTTCACTTTGTGCTTTGAAACTAAGAGCAAGACTTTCTTTTAAATATTAAAAGTTTTCCAGACCTTTTCTTAGTTTCCTTCCCATTCATTCAGGGCACATGTATAGAGACTTTCAATCTCCGAGCCACTATACTAGCCCTGGGAATACAGAGAGGAGTGACTGTCACTAAACACAAATAATTCACAGCATAGGAAAGGCAGCCAAGCAAACTAAAGTCACAGGGTGCAATGGGTTCGGCAACAGACCTCTCTATCCATGGAGCTCAGCGATGCCTGCAGCAGCAGATCAAGGCTTCAGTTCTAGTGAAACCATGAAAGATCCCTTCAGGCCTGATCATGAGCTGAAATTACCAGACCTGTGAGCCAAAATAAACCTATCCTCTTTACAGGTTAACTATCTCAGTATATATTACAATAATAGAGGGGGCCGGGGCTTTAGCTCAGTGGCACTGCTACTGCCTGGCAAGCATAAAGTCCTGAGTTCAATCCCTGGTATCAAAAAACAAAACAGGGCCGGGGATGTAGCTTAGTGGATCCGCCACCTGCCTCACAAGAGCAAGGTTTCCAGTTCGATCTCCCGTACCAGAAACAAATAAAACAAAACAATAATGGAAAGCTCATAGAACATTGGTACTGAGAAGTAGGATGGTGACTGTGACCACGGCTGAGACAATGTGGAGAAGCCTTTGGAACTGGCTTATGGGAGAGATGTGAAGTGGGGAGAGAGTCTAGCATGCTGCAAGTGGGGCTTCCCAGGGCTTAGCAGACAGGACATCAACAGAAAGGCAGAAGATCAAAGAGCGGCTGGAGATATCTCAGGTGGAAGAGAGGACTCGGGGGAAACGCACGGGGTCACTGGTGTTACACCACGGCAAGAAATGTTAGTGCATGTTGTCTACACCCTGAGACTTTGGGGAAGCTGGGCTTAAAGGCAGGGGATGAGCTAGCTTCTCTTGGCAGAGGAAATTTCAAGGCAGCAAAGTACTCAGGTCAGGGCAAGGGTATTCATGGCTGCTTTTAGCTAAATTTACAGTGAGAATCAGGGGCAAAGAAGAGCAGAACAGAAAGAGTTAGAAAAAATGCAGTTGGGCAAGAAAAGGAGCATGCATACAGTTCCAGCCAAAGAAAGTACTGATACAGTCATTCGCTGGACGTGGTGACACACACCTGTAGTCCCAGCACTCGAAATGCTGAGGCAGGAGGGTTGCTGTGAGCTTGAGGTCAGCCTGGGCTACATAGTGAGGTCAAGTCCAGACTGAACTACATATGGAGACCCTGTCTCAAAAAAGCCATGCCAGGCAGAGCAGTAGCCCTTGCCTATAATCCCAGCACAAGGAAGGCTGAGGTAGGAGGATCCTATATCTGGGGATGTAACTCAGTGGAACAGCATTCCTCTGTTTAATTCCAAATACCATAAGAAAAAAGAAAAGAAGCCAAGTGCTTTGTAATGGGACCAAGAAGAGATGCTTGGAGAGAAACGCCATAGCCCTCAGAGCCTCAAAAGTTTGGAAATGCAAATGTGCTTCAAAGACTTTCCAAGGCAAGGTCTTTGCAGAAAGGCCCCCAAATTCTTAATTGTGCCAGCACTGCTCAAAGGTCCAGGTCCAAGTTCCTCTCCCAGACTCCAAGCAAACACGGAGCTGCTGCTCAGCTGGCACTGC